GGGGGTGAGTAGAAAATGAAGGCTAATCATGTTTTGGGTGTACTATTCCTTTAATAAAAAAATATTCTTTTGTCATCCTATAGTGTCTTTAAAGTTAGGCACTGTGTTATGTTTCAAAACAGGCTGTTTTCCTTCTTTGCCCAAAACTTTAACTTTTGTTTTTGTTACGCAAATTTGCTTTTTCATCCTTATGGCTTCATCAGAGTTGAGGTTCTTTGATTGTTTTTGCCCGTTTCACCCATTTTCTCTAAACTTTTCTGAATTTCTTGCTTCTCATGATGCTTTTTTTCATACTGAAAGCCTTTCCAGTAATACTTTTTTTATTTTTTTATTTGTTTATTTATTATTAGGATCCCCATTAGCTGTGCTTTACACCCAGCTACTCTTCCTGGGGGCCACATCATTAAAATACAGTATACAATATAAATTCATAAACATGTTTGACAGATTACAAATATCATATACATATCAATTAGACTGAACATTCATAGAAAAGGGGAAAGTTACAATTTAAAATTTTAACATTTTATGAATAAGTTACAATAAATTAGAATATGAAATTATTTCATTTATAGATAAGTTGCTCCTAAAAACTTCTTAAGTTGCATTTTAAAAGCAGATTTATGTAAAATTTTTATGAGAATTAATGGCAATGAGTTCCATTCTTTCATTGCTCTGTAAGTAAAGGTGCATTTGAGAAAATAAATTTTCGCCCTACAAATTACAAATCGTCCTTCAGCTGCATGTCTCGTGGCATAACCATGAGAGTCCAAATTATTATTATTTTTTTGTTGAAATTAAGTGAAAATGACTTTTTATAGAGTGACTCCTGAGAACATTTTGAAGCACTACATATGTCCAAAGCCGATATTAATATCAAATATCGGTCCAATATTAGCCAAAAGAATAATATTGGATTTTAAAAATTTCTGATATTTTCATGCTGATAGAAAAACTCTGCCTCAGTCAGTTGTTTTTTTAATACCCTTTGATTTTGACTTTTGTTCCCTAATATTACTTGATGAAGCATTTTCTAACAATCTATAGTATGAATTAGGTAATAAAAGCCAGTATGAGTCATGCTAATATTGTATCGATCAATATTGGTATCGGACAATTCTCCAAGCTGAAATGAATAAAGAAGTTTTATCGGGACATGCCTACTACATTTTATTTTTCGCAGTATCATTATAAAGAAACCTAAATACAGTTTTTAGATTTTTGTTTATAAAATGTCTTTTAAAAACCCAGGCATCTATTAGCTGGTTTGTGTTGATCAATCACATAAAACCAAGTATTTTTGTTTGGACTTTACTGTAATAAAATGTAGAAAAAACTCAAATAGATGTGAATACTTTCTGTATGTTGTGCCGATAAAGAGCAATGTGCTGTTTCAGTGTCTCTGTGTGAGGACTCCTCCTTTGAAGACCTGACTGAGGAGAGCAGGAAGATGGCCTGGGCAAACATGGGAAATCTGAAACGGATCTCCAGCCACAAAATCCATAAAGAGTAATCATAAGTTTGGCTCTAATATAATTCAGTGGAGAACAGAGTGGAAAATGTTAGTTTCAATCATGACAGTGAGTAAATGCATAAGAAGCAGAGAGCATCATCTGCTTGAAAGTGTTTTTATCTTTCAAACTGTTTGGTCTGTAGTCTTTATAGTCAGAGAGTGTGTCATACTTACTGTCTAGATCTCTAATTAACTCTGTCCAGAGCGGTGACGGGTATTGCTGTGAGTCGAGATGGAGCTTCTATCTTCTCCACATCTCAAGGTGTGCAATAACAACCTGTTAAAATGGCTGTGTCACCCCTCTTAAATGGTCCTTTTCTTTAGATCAATTTAAACTTAAAGTGTTGTATAAACTTGATATGCATCTTTATTTCAGACTCCACCCTGAAAATGTTCTCCAAAGAGCTGAAGGAATTCCAGAGGAGTGTTTCCTTCTCTAACATGGTACCCAGCTCAGTTTCCTCCATTATCTGGTTTCCTTTATGAAAAACAGGTCACCTTTGTAAACAGCAACCCCCTCCTCCCTGTTTTTCAGGCTTTATCCTCATGCTTGATGTTGGCTGATGGCAAAACCGTCATCTGTTCCTCATGGGACAACAATGTGTGAGTAGTGTGTGCGCACAATTATTGCAATTTTGAATGTGTGCTTCTTGACCTCCTCTTTCCTCCCTGGCAGCTATTTCTACTCCATCCCGTACGGCCGGCGGCAGGACACGTTGATGGGTCACGATGATGCTGTCAGTGACATGTGTTGGTTTGATGACAGACTCTATACGGCATCCTGGGATTCCACCGTTAAAGTAAACATAAGAACTTCCTGCTATTTGTTTCTTGCTTTTCAGACCAGAATTGAAAGGAGACAAAACCAGTTTTTCTAATCATTCTAACCCTATGAAAAACATGGTAAAAAGCTTAAAGCTTCTATATTCTGTTGTCGGTACAGGGTATAAACTCTCCCTTAATGCTTATAGAACAAAGATGAAGCCAAAGTGGGAAACATTTGAGTAAAACAATCAAAAAGAGGTTCAGTATGTTACAGAAAAAGTTTTATCTTATTCTCTCTGAGGAATATTGATCTCTTTTTCTTTTTAAAAAATTGTAAAAAAATGTTTTAGATCTTGTAAAAAATCTTTTGGAACATAGATTGATGGAAAAACGATCGCTCCCACTCTACTACGTTTTAAGAGCAAACTAGATTCAAGAGAGAATATAATCTATTTTTTGCTACTTATTTACATTTACAAGAAGAACCTAGCTATTTAACTCTTCATTCCTGTAGAAAAAGAAATGTTGTAGTGTAGATTGTTGTTTTCATGCAAAGTATTTGCATTTTGGAACTTATTGATGAATAAGGCCACTTTGTGTTAGATTTAGGTATAGAGTAAATTATTTTATGATATGCTTCTCCATAAAGTCCCACAATAGATACATCTGGCCCATTCTTTTACTAAAAAAAGTGAAACAGGTTTATTACTCTCTCCTTTGTCTTTGTCTATGGCAGCTGGTGTCTTATTGAGCACTAATTTATTGTTTTATTTGTTTTTCCAGGTATGGCAGTGTTCCTCCAACAACCAGTCCAGTCATAAAAGATGCCAGTTTGAGCCGCTGGCTGAATTGGAGCATGATGCTGGGGTGAGTCTAATCCTCATATCTCTGAATCACTTTATTTAAACACTTGCATCTAAAAAAACAAAACAAAAAAAAAAACAAAAAACAATGTTATTTACGCTATGCGATGTTTTCTTCTTCCCATATAGAGCCAAAGCAAATTGCAGGATTCTGAACTGGATATTTGTGTTATATTTTAGGTAAACTCGGTCAGTCTAAATCCCACTGGAACTCTGTTGGTTTCTGGTTGTAAAGACGGGTCAGTCACCATCTGGGACACCAGCAGCTACCAAACCCTTCAGCAGGTCCACTGCCATGCTGGGACCATCCACCATTCAGCCTTCAGCCCTGGTCCGTGTCAGACTTGCAAGCTACTCACTTTTTTGTGTTGTTTTCTGGTAGATCTACTGTAGAATATGGCTAAATAATCTCATTATGCACATTTTGATCAAGTCTATGTTCATTTGCAGAACACAAACCTCTTTGGCTCCAAAGGACATGAGCTTCTTTTTAAATCATTTTCTACTCCTTAAGAGAAAATGTAGAATTTTATTTTTATCCCACTGTGGAAAAGTCCTGTTAATGTTATCAGTATTTGAGGAGCTGGAAGTATATTTCAGAACTCTGATGGTCTAGAAATCTTAAGCTCAACCCAGTCTGTGGTTGTTATTTTCATCAGATAGCAGACATGTCCTCAGCGTTGGTGGTGACTCCTGTATGAAGGTCATAGATGTTCAGACTGGAATGGTCATCTCATCCGTTAAGGCTGAAGAAGAGCAGAGGTAAAAAAAACAAGTACAAAAAAAACAACAAAAAAATATGTTTTTTTGCGATGAAGATGGTCTCTAAAGCTATTTAATATCTTTAAGGCTGTAGGATGCTGCCAACTTTTATATAAAATGCAAAAGTGTTCAAATCCATGAACAATACACTTCAGTTTACTTAATTTAGATTTTTAATACCAGGCCAGCACATTATCAAGTGAAAAGAAAAACACTTGATTTAGAAGTTTTTCTCTTTAATGAAACTAAACAAACTCCTGTTAAACCATTTATCATTAGAAATCAGCAAGTTGGTAATTAGAGTCCAGGGTGGGATTATAAAACAATAGATTCAGGTGGGAGATTCTGGTAACAGGAAAAATTTTAGTTTGAAACTGTACAAATCTGGCTTTTAGGTAAAAGTAGAAAAGGAAAATGTGTTGAGAGAAGAAATAACATGTATTGTCTCTTAGCAACAAGCCACTTAGGAGAAAATATTTGGGAGAAGGTTCTTTGGCCAAATTAGATCAGGTTTATATACGGTCAGCCTGCTTGCAAAACGCTGCACACCCTTACACATACTTTACCCATAGTGACACAAGGTAAGGGCTGCATCATGCTTTTGGGAGGAAGCTGGTATTCTAGACACTGCAAAAGATCTGAGTTTGGTGCAGAGGATCAATTTCCAGCAGTAAAAGTACTTTAAACACAGCCGAAGTTACAGTGAAATGTTTTAGATCTAATCACAATAGTGGCCTAGTTAAAGTCCATTGAGACTGAAATTTGAGAGCTGGAGTTATTTTGAATAAAAGAATAACCAATGACGTTGGTCTTTATATTTGAGGGGCGAGTTAAGATAAAGTCCAAAAAGTGAAGCTAAAGGGCAGCCAAGCACTGAATCAGGTCAAAACTTTCACATTATTAATACAGGAAATGTGATAACCACGTATTCCCCTCTAAGGGGATACAACATAGAAGAAATTTTGTTTATTTTTTTTCTGTTAGCTTTATATTTTGAAGCATTCATTACTTTTGTAGGGTTTCTCAGCATCTCTATGTGTGTGCAGATGTTTCTGCTGGGATGGGAGCTCTGCGCTCTGTGGAGGACAGTCAGGTGACCTTCTGCTATGGGACCTGCTCAGCAATACAGTTATCAACAGGATCCCTGCACATTCAGGTACAAGTTAATGCCATTGCAGGCTTAACAGTATGATACTATCCACCCCTATTCACTGCTGTTGCATAAAAAAGAAACTTAGAAATACACTTTGATGAAACAACACATTTTTAAAGAGATTCATTGTTTTGCAGGTGCTGTCACAGCTATGTGGATGAATGAGCTCTGCAACACGGTCGTCACAGGCGGAGAGGACAAACAGATCATGTTCTGGCGGCTGCAGAGTTAAAGTTTCTCTCTCTGCAGCAGCAGGGAACTAAATGTCCAGTGCAATACGTGGTTCGTCTAAGTGCAGTGTTTCCTTGAGATCAGGAAGTAAAAAGAACGCCATTGCCTTATTTTCAGTTCTTTTAGCCTGTTCTTCATGCATGAATGTGTGGATTTTATTTTTTGCTTTATATTGTATGTTGGAAGAGCTGTAAACCCAAGGAGAAAAGTCTGTCTATCTAATAGAATGGATGTAAATAGTTTGAGTTTTTTTTATTATTATTAAGAATAATGTTTCTAATTCCAATGCTAATGCGCTTTTTATTATTGGAAGCGACCCAGTGAGTCTGTCAGAGGTTTATGTTTCTCGATTGTTGCTACAGAAACACAGATGACCTGTAAAAGTTATGTTTTCCAGTTCTTTTCTTTTTAACTCCGCTTGAATGATAAAAGGAACCATATGAAAAATATTTGAGGGACTTTCATTATTTTGTACTATTCAGTCATTGAATCACTTTAATTTTTAAATCATTCTAGAATGATTAAATGAGTGAAAACAAGATAATTTACAAGAAAATCCTTCGGGGGGAGGCAGTCTGTGGTAAAGTGTTAACTTGTCTCTGAAGCTGCCTAATTAACCTTCATCAAGTCTTTAATATTCTAAGAACCATTTCAGAGAAAAAAACAAAACAATGAAAGCTGCAAGTGAAGGAAATGTGCAATATTTAGAACAAACCATCCCTTTTCTAGACATTAATTTGCTCTTGCAGACAGACATCCATACAAAATAACGCAATTAAGAGATTAAAAATACATTTTCCCAGGCTTTTTTATCGATTTTTATTCTATTCAACAACTGATTCATCAAAAAACAAACATGTATGTTTGGTAAAACATTTACAAGCACTTGTGTGAAGCATGCTGCAGATTCCATTTTTCAGTAGAATAACAGCATACGAAAATACTAATGCAATTGCATGATATACAGTTACACTGTCAAAAAGCTGTGCACCTTTATGCTAAATGCATAAAGTAAAACCACAGTATATGAAAAGTAGCTAACAAGATCCAATCTAACCTGGAAATAGAGCTAATCAGTTAGCTTACAACTTGTCAGCTATCTAGTCAACATGTCTGCAATGTATGGCCTTCACTGTCTTAAATCTGTTCCTTCACTAGTCCAGCATTCTAGGAATTATCAATGGATTTTGCAATGAACGGAGCTTATAGCCAATGCAGCAAATATTGTGCATTAGAGTGAGATCTGGCAAAGATGTTTTTTTTTTTTTTTAATGAACCTGCATTAAATCTGATTCATCTTGGTTTGATGACAAGCAATGTGAAAATCCCACAGTATTAGAAACCCTATGGTTTTATAAACCAGCAACCTCAAGTTTAGGTGTGAAACTTTTGGAAACACATTTACCAAAAGCAAACACTGCAGTTCTCTTATATGTTGAAAAGGTAAATCATGATCACCTCCTATTAAGCCGTAATACAGCTTGACACTTTGATAAAAAATAAAAAAAAAAATCTAACCAAGACACAGTTTATAAAATAACTGAGGATATTAAGAATATGGGGATACAAGGACAATCGTCACAATAGTCTGAGACGCACAGGTGTAGTTGTTCCATTAGTCTTTGTTGTTTTCTTTCTAATCTTGCTAAGATTATTCTTTATTAATCCCAAAGATGCTTGTTATACTTTGACCATTACATAAGATAACAGCTATGTATACATCTCCATAAATTACATTGTCTGTCTTCTGTAGTACTATAAGGTACATATGCTGAGGTGTTGTTTAATCTCCCTAAGCAGTCAAATAAGGAGAAGTAGTCCCTTTTTATCAGGATGAAGTCACAAGAATAGGGTAAAGAAATGGGAACACACAGAGCATCGTAAGTAGATATAACAACCCATATTGATAAAACATAATGAAGTCGATGTTCTAAAGAACCAATCTGGCAAAGAGATGATATTTTCATAAATATCTGCAGGTAGTGGTCTCAGCAGGGAGCCAAGGCAGGTTTGTCAGAAAAACAAAAAACAGACGCCTAACCAATGACCATTCACCTGCCAGACAACATAGAAGACATGCCCAGAAGGATCAACTAATGTTTTTCTTGGCTCATCTTCTTTTTTTGCTCTCAGTGCTTGTACAAGACAATTTAAGCCCAGTACTGTAAAATTTGTTCTTCTCTAAGTTAGATTAAATCTAATTAAATTTTTTCTGTCCTGTTTATTGTCTTTCTTCTATTATTCATTAAAATTTAATGCAATTATTTAAAATGGGGTATTTTAGCATGATCAAATCCATGAAAACGGAGTGCTGAGGCATGACGTCTTCAGTGGGCAGAAGCTCTCCTTACAATGTCAAAGGGAAATAATGCAAAATCTCACGAAGAACTCTATGATCAAAAGAAATGTGATATGTTTACAAAATAACTGTACAGTAAATGGTGATGTATCTTAATTATTCTGTTCTTTATTCTCCTCCTCTGCAGCTTTCTGTAAAAGAGAGACAACCAGACATTAGAACTTTAATCTGAGGGTTGAATGTACATCAGGATAAATGTCAGATAAATTTAAGCTTGACAAGTTGCGTTTAGGCCACTGGACATTTTGCCTCTCATCCAAGAAGCTTCAGTTCTAACTAGTGGTGGGTCCATGACCTGGATGACTGAGAATCTTCACAGAAATGTCAAATTTAAATTGTATGAATAATTATGTTCAAAAGAATGCAATCATCCTACAGAAAACACTTTTTAAACACTAGGAGAGGGTTCTCTCATTTAAATCTGTTGATATTGTCAGCTCCAAAGATCAGACAAACAGGATCAGAGGTACAGAAGATGCTGTCTGATTCAGCTCTCAATTGGAATAATGCTAATTATTGGACCACTACACATAACTCTAATCCATCTAATGTTTTGCTGTTATTGTTGGATGACCTTTAGCCAAAGGCCAGCAATTCTCAGCCATTCTCACCTTGTTTATATAATTCCAAAACCCTTTCTTAATGTGTGTTTGGATTTATCATTCTGATTAAAAAGCTGATTAGGTCCAAGTTTCAACTATCAAGCTAGTTTCAGTAAAAGCAGAATCTTATGGAAGTTTCCCCCTCTATTGCAACCACCCCTCAGCATGATAGTACCACCTCCATACTTCATTTATAGTATATTTTTTCTCCAAAAGTTATCTTAACTCCTCCAATTTGAAATCAACAAAGAGTTCTGTCTGTCTAGTTGTCAGTTCAGGACAGACTTGAACCTTCATGGTGGTTTAGGTCATCCTGATTCAACAATTGAATCAAATAACAGTTCAGTCTTTGGAGAATATACAGAGGAGGTCATTCAGCCATTATTTCATGTGTTTTGGAGGAAAGGCAAGATCTAAATCCCGCAGAGATTGGACACCCTGATGGATCTTCCCTTGTTTTATCTTTCTAAGCTTTTTGGATCTTTCTATTGTTCTGAATGCAAGTCAATCCTGTAAATGCTGTTAAATAAATAACTTTTATGAAGGTGCAGTGAAACTGATTGCTGCAGGAATTACTAATCAGAAAACAATCCATGTTTTTTTTCAAGTTTAGACTTTTGATCTTCAACCCAATCATTAGCCTGCATGCATAAACATAAGGCTACATTTTTTTTCTTTTTTTTTTAATCTTTAAAAAAGTTTTTTTTTGTATGATGATTTTACCTTTCAAAAAGGGTTCCCATAAATTATCCAAAGCCAAAACCTTATATAACTGATTTGATTTGTGATTGGAGAGAGTCTTCTGTCTGAACAGAGAATAGTGAGTGGTTCTACATCAGTTTAAGCATTGGTATAAAGATTTGACCTTGAGCTTTCGCAGGTTGGCAAATGCTTTGAGGAGCTTTGGTGTTGGAGGTTTTTGTCCAAACAGGGCTAACCCTTTCTGCTTGTCCTCTTTGGTTGGAGCCCCTGCTGCAGCTTTGGTTTTCATCAGTTGCCTTCAGGGATCACAGAACAAACATGTGGGTTTCAAGTTATAAACAACATAACTGCTCTCTTTTTCTCATTCTAATAAACTTACCTTCCCTTCTTTGCCAGAACTTTCTGAGACTCGGGGTAGTGGACAAGGATATCAAACAGGTCCTTCTTTTCCAGAACAAACAGGTTTGCAAAGCCATACGCTTTTACGTTAGCTGTCCGTCTGTTCCCTCCATCTTTAGCAGATTGTAGTAAGCTATAGGCACCAAAACAAACTCATCGATCAAGTCTTACAGGATAAATAAAACAAGAACAAAAATGAAAAGAGAACCGATAGGGCTAAAAATCAGCTAAGTAAAACGTCAGGATGAAGTTCTAATGAAAATAACACAAATGGTTCTAGAGGTGCAACATTGTACTTCAAGAAATTAGAAATCAGGAAATGAATAAACATATTTTTTAAACTAATCTAGAAGCAGCTTTTCTTATTTTGTTTCTCAGCTGTCCACACTTCAACAATTGAAACCTGGACCTAACCTAAAAGACAATCCAAATGTTCTCTGGATTATTGACTGATTTATTAGAAGTACTTCAATGTAATTAAGTCCAATTCAATTCCATTCAAAATACTTTATTAATCCCAAACGGGAATTGAAAAAAACTAAACGTTTAGGCTTTCAAATGAAAATGACAATGAAAACTACTAATTGTAAGACAAGGTGATGGCAGCACCTTGCTCGGTTTATTATAGCAGCTTGTGCATTGTACTGTATACTGTTAATTGCCTCTAAATTCTCAAACAGAACTTCATTTCAAAAGCTAGAACATTTAAAGGGGCACACCATCCGACAGGACAATAATCTTTCAAGATGGATAAACTCCAGCCTCTAGAAGGGCCCTGAATTCAACTAAATAGAAAATATATAGAATATACTTAAGAAACTACTACATTTTAAAGGTGTTATGCTACTTTTGACAGCAAAAAAACTGTCAGATATCCACTAGAAAGATACCAGAAGCTAGATGAAGCCTATAATTTAAAATTTTTCCTCTGCAGATTTGTCAAAGTTAATGTGACCAATTCCTATGTCAGCTGGTGTAAATCATTTTAACCGAGGCTTAAAGCAATAATAAGAATGTAAAACTAGCACACTAAGTCATTAAACTGGTTAAAAGACTACCGTAATTTATAAATAACTGTGGTGAGCTGCTCAGATTCATGCCTGATCTCTCCGAACACGCAGCCTGCCTTCAGCGTCACAAACACAATGCTGTTGTCGGGTCCTCCCACCACCTGCACTGCTCCACTTTTGATGATGTACATCTCCTTACCGATGTCCCCCTGCAGAAGGAAATGAAGGACCTCAGCTTTTAATCCATTAGTTATTACATGATCAGCACAACTTACTTACCTTCTTCACCACAAAGTCTCCTGGTAGGTATATGATGGACTTCAGCCTCAGCAACATGTCCACCAGCATCTGCTGGTCACAGCCCTGAGACAGACTCCTGATCATTCACTTTACCAATGCAGTGTGTTTTTTTTCATTCTCATGAACTTAATGTTTTTATTATTTTTCATTCAGGCATTCTGTGCTTTTTTTTTTCATATTGTCACCCGTGATTCTATGCCTTTTATCTTTTTAAAACAATGTGTGGTTCTAAAGCAAAGTACGCTGAATCACCTGAAAGAGCTGGATCTTCTGGAAGGTTGCCAGGTTTATATCCACCGCAATGGCGATTCGCATTACAAGAGGCATCTTGTCCAGAAGCTCCGACTCATCTGCAGAGGACATGAGATACAATGTTTACAGAGGCTGGAGGGCTCCAATGTGATTTCATAATGACTTAACCTCTCCAAAACACAGGTTCATGCAGATAGACTCTTTAATTTTAAATCAGCAAAATTATTACAGAAAGGTTCAAACCTTTGAAGTGTACAAAGCATTTTTATTTTAATGAACACATCCTTTAGATTCTCTTAATTTAAAGAACAATTATCAGCTTTTATTTCACTTACTTTATACTATAACATATGTTTCCTGTATGTATAATGACAAATAGAGCATCTTGTCTTGTCTTATCTGATCTTATTAAGACTGAATGCATACAGTAAGTGTTTTTTAAATCCTGTACTTATTGCTGAAAATAGAATAAATATTAGAAGATAATGTTTTAATAACACAAATCCTCTTAAATATTCGCTCTACAATGATCAACATATTTATTTTCTTTTGGAAAATTAGTTGTATTATATAGAAATATTGCATTCTTAAATCTTCCTAAGCCGGTAGATTAAAACTCACAATATAATTTTTTGGTAACTTTCTGATCGGATAGAAAGTTTGCACACCCCAGATTTTGAACTTATTTTCAGCTTTTCACAAGCTAAAGAAGGCTTAATTTTTTAGAAACCTCTGTTATGATTTCTTAGTACACACCTAGCATTCCCTGAGACGCCCAGGTGTAGTTGTACCAGGTTCGGACTCTGTTCTGAACCAACTTTGGAATGGTGTAAGTGTTCATGTAGGCGACGCAGCCGTCCATAGACGCCCGAAAGTATGTCTGAGCTGCCGTGGCCGCTCCTATGACATCTCTCATCTAGAGGAAAGAGACAAAAGCTCTCCTTAATTATCAGTAGATCATGTTTATGTTCATGATCATATGTAGATCATGGAGACTTCAGGATACAGAGATGTCACTTTCTATTGTAGCTGTGTGGTTAGTTTTTACCAGGAAAACCCATCATTTCATTCAACCCATTTATCACAATTTCAGCTGTTTTAAAAGTGTTGATTGTTCTTTTGAATGCAGTTAATGGCAGTTAATCGCTACCTGACTTGCACAGGTTGATATCTTACTTATTTGAATTAAATGTTCCCTTAATTTACCTTTTTTATTAAATAATTTCCTTTCTTTCATAAACTACAGGTGTATCCGACACCAGATGCCTTTTCAATGCACTACAGGACAAACACATCCATCTGACATCAAAGCATCTAGGATGAGAAAAACAGCTGTTTCTGATGGCTTGATATTATTAATTGTTCAATAATTTCTATCAGAGAGCAAAATTAAATGCCCCATATTATAAACATAATACCCTAAGATTTTAACAATGGTATAACATGTTTTTTTATCATGCACATCTTGATATTTTGTTTGAATTAAGCATTTCTGAGTAACCCTTATAAATTCAGCTTTCTAAGCAGCAGCCCCTCCCTATCCTTAAAAAAGTATAGTTTTACTGTTTCACATTAAGCAGTGATTACTACTCACCTATTTTGACTGTGCTGCGTATACTCAGTAAACAACACGTTCAGTTTCTCTGATCAGCGAGAAGTGAGGTGAAGCGAGAAAATTTCTGCTCAACGTTGAGACGGAGCAGCTCCTTTAGCAGCTAATCTGCACAGTGACAGCAACTGCTCCTTTTTTAACCTAATTTTGAAGAATTACATATGTGTTTTTACAGCTTTTCCAATTCTCTAATTACCAAATGAATAGCCCTTTGTGTCACTGTAATATATACAAAAATAAAACATATAATACCAGAATTGCCAAAGAGAAGGCACTAGCTTCACCTGTCCAATGAGGCTGGAGAACACAAAGACACCAATGAAAAAGTTGGTCATCTGAAAGGTGATCTCAAACAGAGTCACAGGTTCTGGGAGGCCCCCTATGTTGATAAGGCTGCGTACTGCAAAGTAATAGCAACGTAGATACCTGAGGAAAAATACATGCTTGAATTAGACAAGAAGTAGTAATTCAACTGGAATACATTTTTCATGAAAACAGAATCTTTATACATCATCTGATTTAGTTGTTTCTGTAAATCTGAATGGTGTTGCTGAAAAGTAGAAATAAATATATAGTTTTATCAATACTTTCTATTATAATTATAAATGTGTGGCTTTTACTTAGATAACAAATGTAATATTTTTTATTACATTTGAAACCAGATTGTCATGGTCTTGGTTTTGTTGTACTTTACTTTGCTCCTTGTTTTCTAGTTTTATTGGTTTAATTCCTGTTTTGTTGTAATTTCTAGATTTATGTTAGTTGTCATGTTTTTCTGTTGTCCTCTGTTGCCCTCTTGTGTGTGTGTGTTCCTTTCCTCTTGGCTCCCTCGTTGTCTCCTCTCACACCTGCTCCTTGTCAGCTCGTTAGCCCTGCCTTTGTCTCAGTCAGCTACATATACTCTCCCTCTGCTGTCACTCCTTGTTGGTTCCTTGTCTTTGCTGTCCTCCCATGCTGTTGTCCACCTACCTCGTCTCTCCCTGGCTCCTCGTGTTTGGTTTCCCCAGATGTCTCCATAGTTCTGGTTTGCTTTTCATTATTAGTTGGATTTTTGCATTCCTGCCTTTGCTTACTGTTTTGCCCCATTAAACTGCTAGAAATCTCCTCAGCTTCTCTGCCTCTGCATTTGGGTCCTCCAAACCACAACCAAACGCTGACACAGATGTCACTATATATTATATAGAAATACATGTAACTTTTTGACCCACTATTTGAAATTAAAATGGTTTAAGCAGTTTATTTTAAGTCAGTTAGGGTTACCAAAAACAATTAATGTTGACTAGATGTCAGAACAAACCAAGTATTTAGGGAAGTGGTGACCTAGTGGTTAGAGCGTAGAGCTTGTAATCCTGAGGTTGTGAGTTTGAAACCCACTCCTACAGACTGCCATTCTTGCTCCAACCCTGCTCCCCAAGTGGGTTAGGTTAAATGCAGAGAGTAAATTTCGTTGCGCCGTACTTGTGACAGTGTAATAATAAGAAAAACGCTGGAAAAAGAATTGGACTTTGGCTTTCAGAACAGCCCAGAGAAAATTGATGCAAAGGCTTTATAAGCTTTTAATAGGTTAATAACCAACATTTGAATAAAGTTAAGATGTAGCTATGGATGTAGTATAAGAATCAAAAGCACAAATTAATCAGGGACGAAACGAGGACCTCCACAAGTTTGACAGATCCAATAGTACAGACTGGAAGAAAAACAGTTTTTGAGGATTCAGACTGAAGCTGTGACAATGATATTAGCCACATTGAAATGAGTCCGGCATCATTAGCAGTAAAGGTCCTCAGAAAGCAAGAATCCATTACTCTTAGAGTACTATAAAAAGGATCATGCTGTGCAGTTTTTTTGCTGTAAGGGTGACTGATACACTTCATAGAGTAGATAGAAATAAGTGACAACGGTAAGGAGGAAAACAGTAGCAACATCTCCAGATGTTAGCGCTGATATGAAAAGGAAAAAGTCTGTGTGAATAAGGTGGGTGTCACATTCGAGAAAATTCTTTAAAGATACCGAAACCATTAATTCTAAGTCAAATATTTATCCAAATTTTAGCTTGTGCATATGTATAATCATCTCTGCTTTAACTGTTAGTTAAATAATTTAAGAGAAAATTCCTTAACTTATTTAAGTTAAGGGTTAGCAAACATGATGTCCATTCCAAGAAGTGCTGCATAGCAGTGTTTGATGTTTCTAAGAATCTGCAGATTTCATGAATAAATAAAAAGTTCTCTTCCGGATCATTCAGATGAGACAAAATGTTTTTGCAACCTTGATGATTTTTTGTTATTAATTGAACTATGAATGCATTTATGGCAGAGAGTTCATGAGCATAATTTTAAGTGCTGTTTTGGAAAAAGAGCTAAAGAACATCCATAAGTCCAACACTCACTGCCTATCAAACTACAAGAAATTAGCATCCTGGAGTGACATAGGTAAAGCATAGAGAGAATCAACTGAGATACTGTTGTAGAGTTCATTCACGTATAAAAAAAAACATCCAAAACAGCTGGATTGATGCAGTTTTTGGAAAGAAAAGCACGTAAAAGTTCCTCACCTAAGGACCAACAATAAGTTAGCGCTAATACTTGATGACAGCTGATGAGATTAAAGGAGTCATAACCAAGTTTAGGTTAAGAGCGTATTAGATTTTTCTGTGCTGTTAGGTATGCTTAAGCAGATATTTTTTTCCCTCATACATTAAAATAATATTTTATGCATAACTATTTTATTAGGTTTTTTAAATTTTAAAATCAATTTTGTCCCAGGCAATACTTGGAAAAGCCTTTAAAGAAAAAGTTTTAGTTTGCAGACTCTGTAAATTTATTGTAATTCAAGTGCAATATATTTTGTTTCAAAACAGGAGCTCTGGAATACACATAATCAGCGATTTTACAATCATTCAGCACCATGGACAGCGGCTAAAAGTAGATGTTGCTTTGGTTTTTTTGTTTTCCAGCCTTATGATTAGGAGACAAAAAGAGGGTCAAAACAAGTCAGAGAAAAAATGTACATACGCTGTGCCTTTTCCATCATACACCCATGTGGTCGATGCCAGACCCTGGTGCACTGAGGCTACGTAGAAAGCACAGGCATTGAGATGGAGCATGTAAAGCAGGTAACCTGTGGTACGGGCCACTCTTCATCAGAAACAAGATGTAGACAGAAGCAGACAAGATTAACAGCATTGATATCTTATATTCAACTCACCTTTTTAGTATTTCATTTAAGTAAAATGTACTTATCTATCTACTTCTAGACGGTGGGACATAAAATTCAATAATGTATTTAACTGCAATAAAATCTACATGGAGACACAGACAGCTATGTCCTTACTGCTCTACAGAAATAGAGAAGACATATTAATTAGGCCTTGCTCATCCCTAGAAGTTATTAAACAGGTAAGAACAACACTGATAAAGTTGGCCAGAGGCTCCCCTTTGCATAAAACAACTAAATTAAACAGAATAACCAAACAAGATCACATTAATTTTGGTCAACTGTGAAATCTATAACTTAGGAATCAGTACATGTTGCAATAAAAGAGCAAAATAAGTGTATAAAGCAGGATACTATGACCCTGTTTTATTGATAACGTTGTTTTATTGCTCCTTTTGGCTCAAACGTTCAATTCCAATGTCAAATGTACCCCTAAAAGAGGGGTTCCTCTGCTGGACCTATACCCCCAGTTGAGACTGTGCAGCATCTTCTCCTGGACCACAGCTGTTAAAAATGGGGGCTCTCCTAATTCCTATTCTCTATTTGCAGAATGACTGCAACCCAGCACATCAAATCTTCAGATGACTCCACTATTGTTGCTCTTATCTTAGGCAATTAACCTATTAAAGACTTTGGGGATGATGATGTACTTCCAAATAACACCCCCTTCCTCCAGGCTGTCTCTCTGATGAATACCTTGGAATATTGGTAGTAAGCTACTCTTATGTGATACATCTGATCCTCCTTCCTGATTTTTTATTAAAACTTAAAGGTCACAGTTTAGTTTTTGTAAAAAGTAAATTATATGGACATTTTCATCATAAACTAAATGCTTCATTCCTGTTAGGAACCTCATACCAACTGTAAGGAATGTAGCTTAAAGTGTAAAGGTTTGCAATAAATTGTTGTCATTCTGAGATCATCTGAAAAAACACAAGGACCGAAGTGGCTTAGTCAAAGCCCAGATCTCAAACTTACTTTTATGATCTGGGGCAACTTGAAACATACTAAGCATGCAAGAAAATGTAAAAGATCTCAAAAGATATTGCTTAATGGATTTAGTGAAATTTAGTGATTTCACAAAATTTAGATGGTTGGGGTTTTCTTACTATTTCCTTAGCTAAAAAACAGCAATTCCTGATAAGTTGTATTTTCTGATTAAAGAGTGCTTAATTCTGTTTTGTGCATTAGATATAAAAACAAACAAAAATTTTTTTAAACTGTATAACATCTCTCAAATACGCATTACATTGACTAAAGCATGGAAATAAATAAAAAAAAAACAGAACACATTAAAAGAAAGAATATGTTGCATAAAAAGCTAAAACGCTAAAGATACTAATAAGTTTAACAAATACTTTAAGAAGACAAAATTACACATCAATAATTAAATGGTTTTAAAAAAAGAAATTCATATTTTAAAAAGTTTTTCTGCTGGTAACATCACTGCCCCAAATGTAGTTATGTTACCTTCTTCCCTGTTATCAGCCTGGGAATTGCAGTACAATTAAAACATCCAAATCACTCTGCTTAAAAACCCTCTAACACCAGTGATGAGTTCATTCAGCCACAATCTTTAGCCACAGGATTTTTAATTTTTGTTCCCCTAATACTGTTAATTGTCATTGAGTTTTTCTGAGCTAGATCCTTTACCTCCAGATGTAAGCTTTGGCCATTATGCTTTCAAGGCGATCACTGAACTCAAAGAAAGACTCTATCTAAAACACACAGAAATAGGGACTTAGGATCCACACCCAGCATGTGAAAAGTGTTTTGAAAACTCAAAATTTCACTGTTTAAGCAAATGAGGCCCACCTACCCTGATGAAGCGGTTGAATCTATATATGGAGGAGAATCCGAAGTGTAGAGAGAGAAGGTCAAAGGGGATGATGCTAAAAATGTCCGTCTGAACAACACATACAGGAAGATTTACACCTCTGGCATTAGAGACTCTGCTGTCTAAATAATGCCCAGCACATATCAACACACAGAACTAACACACATATTCTGGTACATGTAGGTAAAACAGGAGTGAACTAATGTTTCGTAATGAACCAATGTTTTTGAGCTAAAATGTTATAATTTGCTGCAAAGCTCAGGAAGGAGAACATAATGCTTTAATAATGAGAGAGTAAATCTATATCATGTACCCCGTTTCACTCTTTCATAGGATAATACAGTATGCTTTGTTGCAATTCATTAATGAACATGTAAAAACCTTCTTACCTTAAATCGATAAGATTTCCGATAATGTACTTTAGTCAAAGCTCTGTCTTTCTGCAAGCAAAAAGGTAGTTATTGGAACCGTGAATTAATAAAGTCAGAATCGGCGTGTACCCAGGATTTCCTCTTAAAATTTGGGTTATTTCAATGTTTTGGAGCTTCTTAGAATTTTGCAAAAAACAAACAAAAAAAAAGTCTTTGTACATTTTTTATCCATCAACTCCCTGCTGTTTGATACACCCTTGTTTTTGTATTTAAAAATTTAAGCTAAACAAATTTCTAATACTAATAGAGCATGGATTTTTTTTCTGTGTCTTTTTCTGTCTCCTTGAACCCCAGTCAGCTGGAGTTTTCTTCCTGTTAAAAGGGAGTTTTTCCTCTCCACTGTCGCTACAAGTATGCTTGGTGTGAGGAATTGTATTTGAGTCAATGAGTTGATGCAATCAATTTCACTGTATGATCTGGTGAACTGTAAAGTGCCTTGAGATGAGGTGTTGTGAGTTGGCGCTACATAAATAAACTGAATTCAAATTAATGTTGTTCTGATTACTTTATTTATAAATTAAGATTTAAAATGTTGTAAAAGTAGTAAAACCTTTACTCTTTTAAGCTCTGCTGCTGAGCCTAAACAACTGCTGATTGGTTAGCTCTGCCCCTAAAGATTGTTTGCATATGATGTCACATCGGTGCAGACAAAAGCAACTTTACACTTAAATCTTTTGTGTAAAATAATAATAGTTAGGTCCTGATGGGTTTAATGGTGTTCAAACAAAGCCAATAAAACAGCAAATAGAGGTTTTTCGTTACACTGAGAATCAGAAGGAGTGACTTGGTAATTATCAAAATCAAAAAAGTGGATGTTTGCTTTAAAATTCAACGCCTCCTCAATATAAATAACCAAAAGTAGAACAGAAAGGAACCATTATATATGTCATCTAACATGTCTGTAATGCATCTACTGATGTCCTATCAAATTGCTGCATTTCTGTCTATTACCTGTAACCAATGGGTGCCCCTCTGTAACAGAGATGCTTTGTGACTTACAATAATGTCTCCAGCTTTGACAAACTGCAGTCGGGGCTGCCAAACCACGATGTCAATGACATTGACAATGTCAGAGAGGATGTCAAAAAATATCCAGAAAGGAATGGTAGTTTGGCTGTGGTAAGGGAAGGCCAGCCGGACCGGGCTGAGCCAGACGTTGTAGTTATAAGCAACGGCTACGACTGTCAACCAGCCGATGTACCGACGATCTGATGAGGGAAATAACAAATGCTATAAAATGTTTCAAACTACAAAACATTCATATTTATTTACTGGTTGTAGCATAATCGGCATGGGGTACCTGTGAAGGGATCAATTGTGCTTCCCAACACTGTATCCATCATCTTCTCCACTGGATGGAAGAGGACGTCAAAGCATGAGCAGCTGATGTCTGGCAGCATCTTTGCCTTCCTCCTGACCTCCTCCGCTAGCCTCTCCTCCTCTGCTTTCTTCTCAGCCTCTAGTCTTTTCTCCTCATCTTTTTTCTTTTTCTCCTCTGCCTTCTTGGCTGCTTCCTCTGCCTTCTTTCTGTCTTCTTCTTCTTTCGCTATCCGCTCCTCTTCTTTCTGTCTGACATAGTCCTCTTTTCTCAGAACAGGCGCTGAAGAGGCAAAGGAAAACACACCACTGGGGTAATCTATTTAGTCTTACTACGATAAATAAAACCGGAATATTCCTAAGTTAACACTTACTAACAGGTGGGGTGATATCTGGAGATGTGGCGTAAGGGTCTATAACCTTTTCTTTGAGCAGTTCAGTTCGTTCTCTTAGGCTCTTTACAACACTTCTTAGGACCTCATCTGCATATCGGGAATAGACAACAGGAGGAGAGGAAGGGGGCTCCGCGCTGAAACAGAGAGACATAACACTGAGAGATGAAATAAAGAATCTACAGGCTAAGAGGTGTAACATAACCTGCTTAGATGATGACCTAACATGATGACCTTAAAAATATTTCTTTCATTTGGACATTTCCGCATTTTTTTTCACATTAAAAAACACAAATTGCAATGTTTGGATACTGGATATGTATGTTATAGATCAACCAAAGTAGCACTTCATTCTGGACATGTCCCATGAGCATGACACGGCCAGCACCTTGTTTCACCATAGGATTTGAAAGCTCTGTTTTCAATTCAATTCAATTCAGTTTATTTATATAGCGGCAAATTCACAACACATGTCATCTCAAGGCACTTTACAGTTCAACCAGCTTTCCCAAATTTTTCCAAACCAAGTCTACAGTGTTTCTCCTTCTATCAAGAATAAAACTGGGATTAGATTGAACGCAGTTGGACCTTTATTAATCATGAGGTGGTTTCCCAAAACTACCCTAACACATTTTATCCAGAGCTATAGGTGTGAAGAGGCGGTATGCAAGTAACAGCCACAATACTGAGATTATTTTCTTTTTTTATAAACATCTAATATTACATATAATTTTTTCCCACTTTACAGTCTGCCAAATTTTGTCAAAACATAATGTGGCTCACCAGGCATGATTGCTTTTAGAGGGCAAAGGATCAGAATTGTTGCATTTTCCACATTTTATATGAAAGCTTAACAAAAACATCAATATTTTTCTGTGAATATATATCATATTTAAAACATCTACTTTGCTGACAGAGAAAAGCTTATTGTTTCAAATTAACTATAGCCTGCATGTGAATGTGGGCTCGGATTATCCTCAGTCCAAAATGCTACGATAAGCTCCTAATCTCCTTTCCTGCTTTAGGAGTCAAGCTGCAGGCCACAGATGGACCAGATCTGTTTAAGGCTTCACATTTAGGTGTATGCAACTAAATTGGGTACAATTCTGGTCATTTTATTATTATGGAATTTATTCATAACAAATACATGTCATCTTAAGGAAATATAAAAAAACATATCTAATTCATGTCAAATTGTTGCAAAAAAAGAAGCCAAACCTATTTAAATTGAATAGAAAGCCTTACTCTCTTACACATATCAACATGTAATGATGCCAGTTTTGATGTTCTGCGTATTCCTTCCAGTAACCTATCTTACCAAGTTAGCCCTTAGCCTTTCTGTAGCTTACTTTTAAACCACAAAGATTTCTCCTTATTGATAATATGCAACATCTTTTACTTTCTGTGGGATTAATTTTAATTAATTTTTTTCTTCTAATTAACTGAAGACTGGAATTATAGAAACGTTTTAAGCTTTTTTTCCATAATAAACAGGGAAGGCTACAATAATTTTACTTCCTTTGTGTACAAAATGCATCTCTTATTTGTAAAGATTGTAAAAAAAATATTAGGGCTGGGTGTTAATTCAATAACGATATATATCGATCGATAGACGTGTGGCGCAAAAAAAGAGAGTCGATAAAATTATTTATTTGTTATATTTATTTTGGTCACTTTTCTGGTCACTTTAGTTTATTCTTTGTCAGTATTTAATAACATAACTCAGGCCTCTTAAGTTATTTTTCTTTAAAACAATTCTGTTATGGTTAAAAAAGTTGGTTAAATAAAGATTTAATTCGAAGTCTGTGTTTGTGTTCTTTATTAAAAGCTCCACATAAAATATGGTTTCAAATCTTTTCAATAATTATCTATATCGATCAATATGCATTTTTTTTTTATCAATAAGCTTTTTTTCTATATCGCCCAGCCCTAAAAAATATATATATATAGGCTTAAGTTTGTGCGATGTATTGGATCATAAAAGAGAAAGCTAAAGCAGAATCAAAGACATACTTGCTGGAGCCTTTTTATATACCTGCTGATCTCTAATTCAGTTGGAAGGCCAGCAGCTGATTAAGGATTAAGTTTGTCTTTCTTTTCTTAGTCTGTTTTCTCTTTCTGGCCTATTCCAGGAATCTCATTTTGTGGCACTTTGGGGAATTCTGTTATATCAGCCTTTTGGGGGACTAGTAAGATTTCTATGTGCCATGTACATCTGCCGTCATTAATATTCTGCAGTTGTCAGTTAATATATTTTTGCTTTTTGTATGAATTTAAGTCAAAATCAAGCTGACATTTAGCCTCTCAGAGAACCTCTTGACCTTTCTATGAAATATCTTTGCTTCCTAATGGTATGTCCAATAAGGCAGCAGAACAGCAAGATTTGAAGAGAGATTTTTGTAAAATGCAACACCTTTTACCTCCTAATGCTTTGGAAAAAAGGTCAAACTGATTCTTTTGATCAGAGCCACTCCTATCACAACCCTGTAACCATCATTAACTGTGAGAGATAATGCAGGACTATGAACCTGGTGTGACATAGAAAAATGAAATAAGAGAGACAAATGACAGAAATGTTATAGCACAAAATCAAAAAGTAGAGATTAAAATATAAATCCTCTTTTAGCATATTGGTTTTCTTCTACTGTTTTCAAGAAAAGAAAAAGTGAGTTTAAATGGAGTACTGCAATGTAATCTTTCTTTGGAGGCAATGCAGTAACAGAGTAAACATTTTACTGTATATGAATCTCAGTTCTAATGCACAAATGATTAAATAAACTTGATTTTAATGTGTCTTTCCAGACAAATTTATTTGTCCAAAAAAACTTTCTGACAGGCATATGAACAGGCAAAAGCAGGTTAATAACAGCAACTGTTTGTCATGATCTTGGCGCTAATAGTTGGCTTTATTATTTATTCCATTCACCTGTCTACTCTGCCCGGTTGCTCATTACCGCTCACTGATCCACCTGCTCCTGCCTCCATTTAAGGTACTTGCACCCAGCTATCAGGGCCAGATTACCTCGTACTTGCTGGCCAGTAGAGAGAGTTTTTTTTAGCGTACCATAGTGTTTCTGATTTCCTCATCCTGACCTGTTCTACCTCTCATACCCTGAGCATGCCTGTTCTAGTCTGAACATTCTGCCTGAACCGTCTTTGGACTCCTGGACCTCTGAACCTGCCTGTTCCTGTTCTGATCTGTTTCCTTGTTCTGGCTTGGAACTCCTGCATGTTCCCCAGGGCAGCAGCAGCATCTGAGACACTCTGGGCGGCCCCCGCAGCATCTTGTTGTCAGCCCACTGGCTGGATCGTACCTCATTCTCTGGCGATGGACTGAACTGTTAAACCATGTTTGTGACTCACGTTCTTAATCTTCCTTCATTAGATTTACGTGGTCACTAACCTTTGTTTCTTCTTAACAGAGTTTTCAGTGATAGATTTCCTAGCAGCTGATATCACAGATCCACCGCCTGCTCAGTTCCATAGTTTGAATAAATGTTATGATTTATCCCACTATCTGTCTCGCCTTGAATATTAAGTCCTTCTTTTCTGGAATCATGACACTGTTATTGGAAATACTTAATGTATTGAGTTGGATTACTGTAATTTAAATCCCATACATCTTAGAATCAAAACTAATGATTATTTTGCTAACTGAATTTTTAAAAAATAATAATTCAAATAAATAATAAAATAAAATAAAAGTAAAGAGCCTTCATCTTAAATGCAAAATGTCTGAATACATGATCTGACATAAGGTCATTGAAGTAAGTGGATCAACCTTTATGAGGTTTACAGTTCAGAAGTTTATAGTTTTTTTGCCTGTTTTGCTGTAGAGCTGCAATCTAAATTAGGAGACTGTTTTTTATAAAGCAGATCAAGCTTGTTCCTGAAAACTTGCTTGTTAAACATAATTACTGTTTAAGTCAGAGTTCTTTTGGCTGCTAAGGAAATTGCCAAACGACATGACAGCTCTATGCCCTTAAAAGGAACACGGAGAGAACCTTGGTGTGTCAGTAGTTGGGTCATGGGTACCGTGCTGCAGAGAAACAGAGCTGTCATTTGGTACCAAAACTGAAGTCGGGCCCAATGGAGACATAATGATATTAAAAATCTAGATGAACAATTAAACAAAGTTCAGTGTTTAAACATCTTTACAAGTACCTGCTAAGGGTCATTTATGGAACATAGCTAGAAATTAAAGTTTAAATCAATATTTTGAATTCAACGTTTTGAGTTGAAATATTTTTAAGATTTTTATTTAGATATTTGTACAAAGAAAAAAAAAACTTCTGAGGTGCACTTCCAGTAGGGATTGTATAAATGGCAACGCCCTTTTCCTGCAGTAGGATGCACAAGGTTTATAGACTTCAGTCATGGGTGACGGTAACAGAGTTACCAACGATTCAAAATAGATCTGTTTCCAAAAAGGAACACTTGAACATTTGTAGATGGTCTTAGCAGGACATATTTGGACATGTTATCTTCTTCTATTGGCTTTTATGTACTTGGTGTGGAGAAAAGAGTTAATCCATATTAGATTTTCTTCTATAAAGTTTGCTTTCTTTGTGTTCATGTTAAAGCTTACTGTTCCAGCCTTCACAAACTCTTTTAAAGCAATTCTTAAAATTCAGACTGAAAAGGGATCCCTTTTCCATGAATCTGAACAATCAGTTCCCATGACTTTTAAACATAGATCTATCCCTTCTGTAACCTGAATCCATTGTTTATGATATAATACATTGGGAGTGGATCCATACTCAATGATGATGATACATTCTTACCCCTCAGCCCCGTCTGGCTTTACTGGGGTGGCAGGAGCTGGAGCAGCAGCTGGAGCCTGAACAGCTGGAGCAGGATCTGCAAGAAATATTCAGCAAAACCTTTGGCTTGGTTTTAACTGCAGTACTCTGCCGCTGCAGTACTTTGCCGCTGACAAATAATACAAATGTTTTAAAATATAATTTCAATAAAGATTGTTAAAAACACCAAGAAACTTCTGCAAAATCATCCTTATTTACTGGTTTAAGGTAATGATACCATATATGGTAAATACACGACTCTTTGACCTATGAAAACATCAAAGGGTCGCCAACCTATGGATTAGTTGAGCTTTGTGTTATAAACTATATCGGAAATTAAACAAGAAACTTCAGTTTTAAACATATGCTATTGTAAAAAGGTAAGCTTTGGGTAAAAGTTTTTGGTTGGTACAATATATAAACTCCAGACAGTGAATTTGTTCCATATTAACTCATTAGTGTTTATATTTTACAGGAAGCCCTTTGGTTAAAACATAACAAGTAACCTAATGGAGGGAATGCATTTATATATATATATATATATATATATATAT